ATCCAGCCATAACGAATATAATAGTATCTTTTTTTCAAAATTGCGCTAATAATTAAGTTGTTATACTGGTAGCGCTATCTAACGGTAAAATTATAGCACCTCCGAAAACCATATCGAAATTATTTTCTTCAATGGTCGATCTCACAAGTAATCTAACTCAAAATAGACTAGAGGCTGCACATCTACACTATAGTAGAAAGCTTTTAGTGAAAATTTGAAGTCTGTAGCTATTGTAATTACTGAGATCTCAGCCGGAGAGCCAGCCAGCCAGACATAACGAATATAAAAGCGTATTTTTGCCAAAACATGCACTAAAAATTTAAAGGAAAATAATTCCGATCTTACAAAGCACAAGTTATTCACACTCAAAGGGAATACGACCGTGGACCCAAAAAAGTAGTAATACAGGGCCGTTCCTGCGTCGTTTAATGTCGCTCGCCACCCCTATTTCTTCTGCTCTTATTTCACTTTCAAGGTCATCAATGGTCATCAATAAAGCCATTTGTTGTCATTGCCATATTTCATTTCCAAGGCCATCAAAGTGCATAGATCCGATTTTTGTGGTGTCATATTTCATTTTCAAGGTCACCAAAGTTCGTTGGCCCTATTTTTGTGGACACGGACGACGCGGCTCTGCGCAACTCGGCACCGGAATACTCGGCTCCGGGATTACACGGCTCCAGGACTATCTCGGATCTTCGACGATTCAACTCTGGGACTATTTGGCTCTCAGACGACTCGGCTCTGCCGTAACTCGGCTTCAGGGCTATTCGGCTCTAAGGTAAGTCGGCTCCGGGACTACTTTGATCTGAGAATACCACCAGGCGCATAGATGCATAAATTACACCCAGTTAGGCCCATTCCCCTCGCCTCACCCTGTATGCATCTGCGCAGTATATACCATGTATTGGTACGAAGATGCAAAATATGAATTCCTCCTTAGTGATAAAACAATTCGTAAAGTTGAAATTTGTATGTGCAAGCCATACGAACGTAGGGTTTTTCTGAGCCAACCGGTTCCTGGTAGAACTAGAGCCGAATAGTCCCGGAGCCGAGTAGTCACAGAGCCGAGTTATCCTACAGCCGAGTAATACCAGAGCCGAGTAATCCCAGAGTCGAGTAGTCCCGGAATCGAGTTGTCCCGAAGCCGAGTAGTCCCGGACACGAGTAATCCCGGAGCCGAGCAGTCCCGGAGCTGAGTTGTCCCGAAGTCAAGTAGTCCGGTGCCGACTAGTACCGGGCCGGGTCGCGCACAGCCGAGTTTTCCTGTACAGTCATTTTTGTTGTATCATGTTTCATTTTGCACTGCCATTTTATTTTCAATGCCATCAAAGTTCAATGACATTTTTTTTGGGATCCATATTTCCAATGAGGAAGTAGGTTCGTGATAGGGACATTAGTTTACAAATACGAGGGTGCTGGGCCCGCCAACAAGCAAAATGGAAAATTTAGAGCTTCTCCCGCAAATTTTTTTGTTGAAAAATTTAATTAATTAATTTCATTATCGTACCTGTGAGGATTAAGAACGTCACGTACCTAACCTTTAAATTCTCTGAAACACGATTCAGTGGATACATTTACATGTTTGTATAGTGAATTTCATTGTTTCAACTGTAAAATAAACTTGAAATTGATGTCCTTTATTATTTTGGGAAATCACTTATAAATATTACGTAATGACGTATATGTATTCCTAAAGTAAAATTAGATATAGCCCCATCACCTCCTGTTGATGCAATGATCAGTGGCGTAACTAGATAGGTACCGAACCGAAGACGCTAAGGCACCGATGGCCCCGAATGCGCTCTAGAACACCACGTCCGGGTGAGCAGTACGGGGTATAGACCAGTCATTAAAGAAAAAAACAGCAGTTAAATTCGAATAGTTTTCTAAAGTCGACTACAGGGTGCAAAACAAATTTGTGAGCCTTTAGGATGAATCTCATAAAGGGGCGATATATATTTGACGCAGTTTCGATGTTTCGCCTGAGTTCGATCTATTATACTTTCAGAAAGTAATAAATGGACAAAATGGATATTTAACTGATAAAGAAAGCGTTCAGTAGGTAGTCAAGCGTAACCGTTGACAAAGGTGCAACTTAAACGAGCAACTTTGCTAGTAAAAAAGACGTGGAATGTAAAATGTAATCTTAGGAACAAAGTAATTATCTCTTCATTTATATTGAATAATTGAATTGAATACGTAATTTCATATCGCTTTTGTTTATAAGTCACAAAACTTATTGGTCTAATTAATGGGGGCGCAATTGCCACCGTTGCGGGCGTGGTCTGAATACCGATTTAATAAAATTTAACGTTGTCGAAATGAGTAATTAAAATTTATCCTTTGTGAAACTATACGTTCGTCAATTATTTGTAACTGGAATTAAGTTTGCTAATTACGTATGCTGCTAGTAAATTCTATTAATGATTAATTAATTCCTCCTCTTATAATTGACCGATGTTTTAATTTTATCACTTCATAAAGGTGAATTGAAACGTGTCAAAGAAAATTTTACTGGTTTAGGAATGTTTACTGCGGCTGACAGACCACAGGACATTTCGACCCTAATACTAGTCTGCGGTTGCGTGACCAATCGGTACCGAGTACTGCCATTTATGCGGTGGCTCGTAGGTAGATCGGTAAAATGCCATTTGCTATTGTGGAACGCCCACATGCTTTCTAATTACCGAGGGAGATTGTTTCTTCCATGACGCATTTATTGTAAAATGTTTGTGTGGATTGCAAATGAAAAAGAATTTATTTCCAAAAATATGAGTTACGGAAGAAACCTAATTAACAATTACGAAGTCTTTAATTTACCTGTGTTCTACTTCAAATAAAAGAACCGCAAGACGACGACCTCTACAATTTTAACTTAAAATACTACAAGACACAACGTAAAAATTTAGGGTTCTGACACTAACATCTATGAGGTTAGAGTCTGGGAGGAGGTGAGTGGTATAATAAACAAATGTAATTATCCCTGTACAGTACAGTACCTACAGTAATTACCTACAGTGCTTTAATGATTAGAGCTTAATGGTAACTGATGTGGCCCCAAAATCTGGTAGGCCGAACCTGATCCCGCACCGCTTCGAAAAATACCCAGTTACGCCACTGGTAATGATAAGGAAATATTAATAAGCAAGTTAAAAAGTGGTCGTAATCGTACAAAAAAAGCGCATTTCCACTTGCATTCATTTCCCATTTGTAAGATGCAACTTCTGTTAAAATCGTAAAAATCCGGCCACAAATATGAAAGATAGCGTTGCACATGTGCAATCCATTTTTGACGTGCTACTTCAATTTCATTTTATAAGAAGAATTTCATTTCAATGCTTTTCTAAATAAGAAAATCTAAATTTTGAAACTAACGTTAGATTTTCCTTTGTTACGCGCCTATGTATCAAATTTCATTTAAATGCTTCCATAGATCAAAAAGTTAGCACTGCGCATGCGCAAAATAAAATTTTGAAACTGGCGTTTGATTTTCCTTTATTCCAAGTGCATATGTGTCAAATTTCATTCAAATGCTTTTATAAATAAAAAAGTTTGCAATTCGGTTTATAAATGGTCGAGATGCGAAAAGGGCACTGTGAATTTTGAATCGATTCGACTCAACTTTTGGCATTGCGTATTATATGGCTAAAGCTATTCCCATATTGAATTTCATGCAATTCAGTTCATAACTAACGGAGATGTCAAAACGATCGGACATTTCTAAACAAAGTTCTCGTTCACACGAACAGATAGATGGACAGACAGACAAAGGAACAGACGGATAGACCACCAGACAGGCGACAGACAGCAATACAAAATGATATCTAAACGATCTTTAGGGTCGTTAATAAACGGCAAAAGTGTAAAATTATGGAACATGTAAAAAACGGTTTTTTGTTTTTTTACAATAACTTTTTTTGTAAGCGGTACAGAAAAAATTCCTTCCTTGGTGCAAGCCTCGACACCATAACGAACCAAATAGCAAAAAAAGTAGACAATAGTTCTTAAGATAAAGAACTAGTAGCGTCTCAAAACGAACGGACGGGCGGACAAAGTGGCCACAATAGCGAATTTTATTTTTTATTTTGTGGAAATGCGCTAAAAATGAGTATAATGTTTATAAAAACACATTTTGGTTGGAGTATAAAATGCTCTTAATTGGCTTGGGAGGGGGGGAGGAGGAGGCGGCGATTTTGAGGGGCTCATAGGCGCAAAATATGTAGATCCGGCCCTGAAAACATCATGTATATTTTTTAGTCCTCACTGTTCTCCTATATCGTACACTGAAGACTTTCTAGATCTTGCGGTTCTTCTCGTTCTTCTGGATCAGCTAATTGAGATAAGCTACCACATACAGTGTATCGCAGATTTTTTAATTTTTCTAGATTTTCTAGGTCTTTTCTTGTCTTTTTTTTAATGTTTGATGCTTGACTTGAAAAGTGTTACAGATACTACATTTAGCCATAACACCTTAACGTCAAATAAGTTGAAAGTTTCTGTTATCAGTTTAACTTCAGGAGCCCTATAATCAAACCTTGGCCCTTTGAATGACCTTTAAAGTGGTACTTACATGAAATCTAATAGACTAAAGGTAACAACGTGTTCAAATTTCCATTAATTTTTAAATTTACATCACTGTGGGAGCAATTTAAGACGGCGATGTAGACTTGTAAATGTATCCATTGGAACATAGTCCAATAAATATTTATAGGAAATTTACCTCCCAGAATGTCAATACTGTACCGTCTCGGTCCGTGGCGCTAATCTATCACATATTGTTAAGGAGAAGCGGGCCGTATTTGATCAACTATTAAGAATACGTCAAGTGCATGCTACCGAAAGAAAAACACTTTTTCAATTCTCGATAAGGTCGATCGTAGATTTTCCCTTGCGTATCATTCTGCCTATAAACGAAAGCGCTTTGAAAGCCTCGCGTAAAAGATAATTACTTTTTTTGAGATCGTCAAATAATCTCTTTTTTTCTCTTCTGTACACAGAACCTCAAGATAGCGATCCCATTATTACATTCAACAAGGATACATACGAGATCGGAGAAATTTTAGAGGCAAATTGCACGACGAGTCCTGCACGTCCTCCGCCCCACGTCACGTGGTTAATAAATAATGAACGAGTAAGTATACGTAGGCGCTGTGTATGTTGTTTCAAAATTCCTTTTACGGTTTCCGCACAAAAGTGTATTCCGCTTCGGGTTATACCAGGCGAAATTAATGTAAATTACGTATAAATATTTGGAATGCCTTCATAATGAATATTAACATCTCTACCTTTATTTGTACGCCCGTATATTGCGTGTTTATTGTTTACAAGGGTGGCCCAATTTAATTATAGAATATCAATAGGTAAGAAAGGAAAAAGGGTTTTTGTGTTAATAATAAAAGTTTCTACTCGTTCACTTTATTCCCTTGCAAATTGGTGTTCTAAAATACAAAACACGTTGAAGGACATTTTCCGAAGTTTACAATTTATTATGCGCCAACACTTTTAGAATAAAGGAATAACATTTGCGGATTTTGCTATCAAGAATTTTTTAGTATTTATTTATTTAATTGTCTCATCATTTTATTGATAATAAGAATTACCTCACTCGCGACGTATGCAATTATGCGTCTACGTCACAATCTAATGACCGAAGATCTGCGTACGCCACATTTTGAACATTGTATACGTAGCGAGGCGCGATGATGACTTCGATTCGAAAAAAATAAGGCATGCTAATAAGTACAGTGAAGGTGGGGAATGTATGTTCAAATATGACAAAACTCCTTAACATAACTGTTTGCACGTCACATTTTACAGCTACTACCACCTCCTCCATCCAATTCATGTACTTAGCCATATTCAACTGGATGGAAGAGCAGAAATGGTATGTATGTTGCATTCCATTACTGAATCTCGCCCTTTGTACACATTTCTATGTAATTTAACCTATAGGTACTTATTAAAGACATTTATTATTATTATTATTATTCTGAAGGAGAGTGCCAATCAGGATCGCAGTTTCCATATAATGTTTCGTTGATTTATACAATGCGTCAATGGTACGCAGTATCCAAGGTTTTGACACTGCAGAATTACATCTACCTGGTCGACAACGATCTACGCCTTGTAATTTCCCCGCAAAGTTGAAATTTAAAAGGAAAATAGGAAAAATATTCTGAATCCCTGAACGGGCCCCCGTTACTTCGTTCAAACCCACAATAATGCGCGATATACTCATAAATCTTCGACGCTCATTCCATTACAACTCATTAAAAAATAAGAAATTCCACGCTCCGCTTGAAAAAAATAATAAAAATGATTGCTTGTGGATATTACAAACTCCATGTTACGCCACTGTCGCAATTAACATGTTGGAATGGTAAAAAGATGCACCGGAGTAATTCAAAACTTTATTACCAGTTCCCCACTTGACAATACCGGTATCCTGTCGTACCAACCTTTGGTTGTGTTCTGAAATAGGTTTTTAACAGCCTACACTAGAAGCTAAGGAAAGGTCAAAATGCTGTGTAAACTTTTATAAACGCCTCCAAGAGCAATGGAAGGATCTATCTTAACGGTCTTTTAGACCCTATAATGCTTTTCCAGAGGTGTTTAGTCCCTTCCAGAGCTACTGCTTGGGAAGTTACTGAATCATGTGATGTCATGACTTTTAGATCCTAGCTTTACAGACCTTTCCTAGGATTTTTATGCCTTATTAGAGCTGCCTGTGCACTTTTGCAGGACCATGTCGGGATATTCTAAATGCATTTCAGCGATTTTCTGTTCAGTACACCCTTCGCTCCTTTGGAAAGCGATCGAGTTCCGAGAGGCCCTTTAAACGGGTTCTTAGTGTTGAAAGACAAAATTACGGGGGACCACCTTCCTAATCGAACCCTGATGATGTGAAATAATTTGTCGCATCAGAGGCAGACATGCCAACTCAGCCTAATGGCTGCCTATGCTGAAGTATAATATATGCCCATTTTAGGCAGCCTTGATGGCGCGGCTGTTTACCAACCTTGATCTTACAGACCATGTCCATTAATCTAGCAGAGCAAGGTCAGCAGAACACAATCAAACATATTGCATAATTAGGTGCTAATTAAGTGCCCTGTTCCCGAGTTAAATGCTCCTTTTTTTTAAATTATTACATGTTCTACCAGGTGCATATGAACTCTTCACAGCACTACCTCAAAAAACCAAGAAAATGAAAATATAATTAATAAATTAATATATGTCCAACGCTCTACCAATTAATTAATTAATAAAATATAATTAGGTGCTAATTAGGTAATTGGTAGCTATCCATCTTATAACGACTCAAAACGGGGTGAAATTGACTAAGTGGAAATTATAAAAGCACTAAACCTTCCCCATACTTCATTTAATTGTTTCAGATTTTAAATTCAGACATTATGTGACAGCACAGAGTTAGGTATATAGAGGTAGCTGAGTCAGTTTGTTCTAATAAGGCTATTTGAGGTTTTATTGTCACTCGGGGACCTGAAACTGAGAGGTAACTGAAGACGCATCATCTGGTTTAATGATCACTGCTTAATTATCCATGCTAAAAGAACGCATCGGAGCTCGCCAGATCAATGACGGATGAGGCTTGCTACCACTATTCCTCTTATTTTGCTTCCTTTTGTTCTACATAAAGACCCAGCGAGGTGTCACCAAGGCGTCCTGCCGCTGGCGCTGAACCCACTTCATTCACACTTCCGCCTCCTTAGCGCTAGGTATTTACGAGGGTATTTACCTTTATTAGGAAGATCGCAACCGCCCTTCTCCTTGCGTGCTCCAGGTTTTCCAGAGATAGCTTATCTTATGAAGTGTGTTTAGAAGGAACAAGAAAGTTATAAGGTCACAGGAGCCAAGGAAAGTGGAAACGGAGAACGAACGAAACAGAAAAAAGGGGTAGGGAGAAGGGGGCGAATTGAGAGGAGGAGAAGAGGAAAACATGGAGAAATTGATGGAAGGAGTAAAAAAAAGGAAACACGAAGAGGGACTAATGAGACTAAGGAGCAAAGGGATAAAATTAGAGATAAGATTATGGAGGAATTAGGAAGATTAAGGGAATAAATGAAGAGAAGGGAAGAAGAGCAATAGGAAAAAACTTATAGAAGAAGAAAATGAGAAAAAATTAAGAAGAATATAACGATAAGGGGAGTAGGGATGGAAAAAGGGAAAAGAGATAGAGCGGAGGAATGACTAAAACAAAACTTACAAGTAGAGGCGAATGTAAAAGAGGCGAGAACATTTGAAGTACGGAGAAATAAGATAGTAATCGCAGAACTAACATGGGAAAAGAAGAGGGAGGTTATGAGGGGAAAGGAAAAGTAAAGGGGACTGAGATATACATATATGGTGAGTTGAGATATGAAGGAAGAAGGGTAGAAAGGGAAATTGGAGAGGTTACGAAAAGGAAAAGAGGCAAGGGAAACTAATAGTAGATGATGAAGGATACAGATGGAGTACCACGGAAATAGGATAAATTTTAACAGAGAGGAAAAGAACGAGAGGGGAAAGGGCGGAGTATGGAGGAAGAAACTAACAGCAAAAGAGAAGATACCTAGAGGGCAAGTGAGGGTGATGGGTACAGACAGAGTTGACCACATAAGAAAAGGAAAAACGAAATAAAGAGGGCAACGCGAAAATGATATTTTGGAATGTAGCGGAGGTAGTCGGTGAAGAGGCTCAATTCTGGAAGTTTGTAAGAGGATATGATGTGGTGCAGATGATAGAATCATGGCTAGAAGAATTGAATTGGGATAAAGTAATGAACAGAGGAATTATTTACGAAGAGAGGGCAAATTAAAGGGACAAACCAAAGAAAGTATAAAAAGAGACAAGGAAATGTGGATGGGAGTCAGACGAGTGAACGTGTAAATGTGTAGAGAAAGAAAATATGAGTGATGACTATATACGCAACAGAGAATAGAAATGAAGGACTTAACAAATATAATAGAAAATAAGAAGGATGAAAGGGAGGAGGAGGGACTAATCTTGGGGGGTGATTTTAATGGAACATGGGTAGAGATGAAAGAAACTACCACTCACACATCAGGTACAACCTCTCCACTCTTCCTCCAACCATGCTGGAGGCAATCTTATACGCTGTGCCCCTAACATTTGCCGCCGTCTCTTCGCACAAACCCTTTATTTTCGTGATCTCCTTTAGCCCCCGTTCGTTTGGTACTACTACCCCTAGAAGAAGGTCTAACCAGACGATACAACCGATTAGTCGATCTTTGGAAGGTATGGCTGAAGTAATTGGTTATTAGCCACGTAGTTAGTAATCATGATCCGATCATTCATTCATAATTATTGGGGTGCACGAAATAATCACGGAGGGGCTGCTATTAGTCTGGGCACTCGCCCAGGCCTATCATACGTCGCCATCCCCTGATGTTACACAACCCCTTTATCGTTGCATCACCTCCCACAACCACGTCAAGGAATTGCACAATTTCCAAATGTTAGTATGAACAAAGAGTATCCATAATTACTCTTTGGTATGAACAAATGCAATCATGATTCATGATTCTATCCAATGTGTCTGGTTAGGTAACACATGCTACATGTTTTTCCAGCTGTTTATTTTTAACCCAAGTGAAAGTAGACCAATTTGTATATTCATTAACGGCGAGGTGTTGCTAAATTGTTATTTTCGTACGAGGGGGTGTCGCTCAGATGGTAGAGCGCTCGCTTAGCATGCGAGAGGTACCGGGATCGATGCCCGGCACCTCCAAGTAGTTTTGAACTGATGTCCAAAACAGATATTTTGCACCTTATACTTATATATTCAGAGTTTTGTACAATGCTCGCTCATGTGCAGGTGTTTAGACTTAGTATTGAAAAACTGGCGCAATATGGTATTTTTTATTGTTTTCCGCACTGCTATCACTTTATGGACACAGCCGTTGGTCATTTAAGTTAGTGTTGTTTGAAAATCGCTGCCAATTATAATCTGCTGACTGCACACAAAAAGCAAAAAGGCAGAATGAAATAATAATGGAAATGGCTGTTAATAATTTGCAAAATTTTGGAGGTGCCGGGCATCGATCCCGGTACCTCTCGCATGCTAAGCGAGCGCTCTACCATCTGAGCTACACCCCCAGGTAACGGTGA